CTCTCTGCTTGCCTTACTTACTATAAAAAGGATAAAAAGTCATCCAAATACAAGCAGAACTAAACTAAGCCCATCAAACTTGAGCCCATCTGTCTCACTGGTTAATAAAGAAAATTCTCTTTGCTTCACAAAATTACAAGACAATCTGTCAATCAAACTCTTTAGCTTGTCTCCTGAAAGATTTGTAGCAGCTTGTCTGTCACATCTCCAGAGTTTTGTATTGGCTATGGATCTTACTTCATCAGCTCTAATGAAGCAAGCTACGTAGGAAGGTGAGATAAGGTTTCTACCAAAATCTTAATTCCCAAATCAGAAGTCAAGAGGGCAATCCTAGGAAGAACACAGTCATCTACAGATACCTAGAGGAAAGTTTGCAAAGACAGATAATTACAATAGTGAAACTTTTTGAGAATGTAACTATGACCTAGGCTCAAATGTTACCCATAAAATTCAAAACCACTTTCCACTATGCAAAATAGGAAGGCACTTTAAATAAGAACACCTATGTTTCTTACATTTTTTTCTCTGTGAAAAACCTAGCAGACTTTTAAAATAAGTGATTTGGGATAAACAATATGCACTAATCCCTCTAATAATGAACACAATATGCTCCAATGGCATTCTTTATTCTCTGGAACTTTAACGTCAAAGATGAATGAATGAATGAATGAATGAATGAATGAATGAATGAATGACTTAAGTAATACATTCTTCCACAGGGAAGCCTAAATGGCCGCAGCAACCACAGTGAGAAAGAAATTCTTGTCTCAACTTTGCCAATGTGATCAGTTTATCTATAAAAAAGAGATTAGACATCATGCGTTCCAAATATTTTATATTCAAGGTCCTCTATGACTTTGAATAACTTAGAAAAACATAAGTAGATACTAAAATAAAATAACTTCTAGCATTCCCCCAAAGATTGAACCAGAAGTACAAGATTTAAAAAGGCAACAGAAATACTTATACAAGATAATAGTTTAGTGCAATATATTAAAGAATAAAGGTTAATTTTAAAAAATCAATGATAAACAAAATATATATTTTAAACAAAGACAGGTCACTGCTGCTTGTTTGTTTTCTGACCCTGCATCCTGTACACGGGAACCACCATTCCCAATCAGCCGGCAGCTGGCTCCCAGGCCATCAGCCTACTCCCCGCCAACAAGGTTTACAGGTGTTGATACTGGTGTCCAACGGAGTGGTCGATGTGCTTTATATATCATACTTTTTCACCACAGACCTTTTATTTTTCCACTTGATACAAAATATGAGAGGACAGTTTAATAAGTGTATACAGGAGCAGGCATTTTAAAATATTTTTGCCCCAGGCTATACTCTGGCTCAGCAGGGCACTGGATTTAAGGATTCATTCTATCAACAGGTAAAGCACCAAAACATTTAAAACTAAATACCTCTCTCTACTCCAGAAGCTTTCAGTCTCGTAGAAATCAAGAGTCAGTTTACAAACAAGTGCAGTGAAATACAAAGGACCATACGAGAATATCAAAATCCTAGAATGCAAGATCAGAGCTTCCTCTGCTGCGGGTGGGGATGGGGGGATGAGAATTAGGGGGAAAAGTCCTGGAAGCAGAGTAGGGTGCCAGGTTGAGCAAATGAAAATGAAAACATCGCATGAGGTGTGCAGGGGTGAGCAAAAGTTGGTTTATAGTTGTGAGTACACAAAATCAAGTTTATTCTTGAATTATTATTTATTACTTTCCATAAAAACTGTAAACCTACTTTTACCCACCCCTGAATTTATACTTAAAAGCATTTGTTTTTGGTTGGTTTTTTGTTTGTTTGTTTGTTTTTGTGGCGGTGGTTTTGAAATTCAAATTGAACTGGGCATGCTGTATTTTATTTGGCAATCCTAAAGTGGTAGGTTACATATATGCTGAATCTTAAAATATGGACCTAAATAAGAAAATTTTATTTTACTATTTTGAAAGTATTATTCAACAAATTGAAAGCATTATGGCACAAGGCACTGAACTGAATTCAAATTCAAGTGTGGCACCAACTAGCTGCATAGCACTGTGTTGAGTTCCTTCCGTGAACTTCCACTTTTCCATTCAACATAATGATGCTATTGGCCCTCTATACGCTGAAGAGCTCGTAGGTCAAGAAACCTAATATTTCAGAAGATGCCTTCTGAGGTGTAAGTATTAGTGAAATGAGAATTGAAGATTAAAGCATTGTTTTATTGTGAAGCCACCATCCATACTGCTGATAAAACAGGCAGTAACACCACAGTTCCAGAAACACTTATTGGTCCAAGGGTCATGGTATCAATGACTCAGAAGAAATTTTACTGAAAATTATCAAGGACCACCTTGCCTTCTTGAACATGAAGCTTTACTCACAGTTAGGACCATCCTCTGGTAAAGAATAAAATTCATGAGAACGCTCATTGCCACTGTTGCCAGGACTGTCTACAGAAGATTAATTATCGTGTAAAATATGTTTAAGAACTATTTTCTTTAAATCCAACATGCTCAAACATCTGTGTGTCCTACTTGGGTGTCCAGGGCCCAGTCAACATGTAACCCGTCCTTCCGGCAGGCAGCTTCCTTCTCCAGGCTGGGTAAAGGGCCAAAGGCCCACCCGTCAAATCTCCTCACGGGGTGTCAGGGTAACCCTAGTAACAAGTGTTTTACTCTACTGTGCCCCACTTTCCAACAAACATTAATGATGTGAACACTCCGCTTGGAAGACAAGCTTAGTGACTTCAGAATGGAAGAATGGCAGACAGACAAGAGAAGGGGGAGTACAGAAATAGAGGCGGGTAAATTCAAGAGAGGAAAGAAAAAAGTGGTGTGGAAAGGATTCCAATCTCAAAGATGAAATGAGAGAGATGAATAGAAGAGGGAGATATGGGAAAAGAGGCCAAAGCTATGAAGGGAAAGGAGTTGAATGAAGAGTGAAGAAAGGAAACATGGCGACTGCCCCTGAGCAGACCAACACCAGAGAAATAAGCAGGACCAAAAGCCACCCAGACTGCTCCGAAAGCAAGAAACCAAAGACTGGGATGGAGAAACCAGGGATTTCCACAAATTTAAGCAATAGGGATCAGAGATAAACAAGATGCCAGGCCTCCCTTCAGACGTAAGAGAAAAGACAACCTGGATTTGCCCCTTCTCTCTAACCAGCTACCGGTAAATTGATCTAACAAACTAATATTCATGGTAAAGTGCATCATTTTTATAAATTGAGTAGGAAAATAAATTACACACACACACATTTTAAAGTTATCACGAAGTTTCGCAGACTGAAAGAAAAAAACTGAGATACTGTATAAAGCTGGCTTTTACTGTTGGCTGTGGTTTCTAATCTGATATAGATTAACACAAATTTTAGCCCTGGCCTCTAGAATTAATCCCCAAGTAGACAGGAGTCTCTGGGTTTGAACAATGAAATAAATCCTGACTAATAGATCTCAGAAATGTGTAGTAACAATTTATCTTGATTTCGGATGAAACCGCTAGTGTGCCTTCCTAATTTCCCTACCTTCCAGTCCATAAAGAACTGATTATTTGTAAATAAACATCTAACATACCATGAGGGTTCAGGTATAAATTAGTCCTAGGAGAAATACTGATTTAGGACAAAAAAATAAAATTGTATAAAAGAATCCATCTTGCCACATATACTTTATACTGTCAGGTTATTTTTAAATGTAATTATACTTCATTCCCTGAATTCTGTTTTTTAAATTCAATTTATAGCATACTAAAACTAATTCTTAAATAATGCCTGGAAAACTAGAGGATTATAAATTATTAAATAATGCCTGGAAAACTAGAGGAGTATAAGTTACATTTGGCCAAAAAGGGAGCCCTGATTAAAACTATTTTAATTTTATAGAAGTAACTTATATATAGTTCTGATTAGTTGCATACAGCTTTAACCATCATAAACTGTTAAAACTCACAGTGAATATTTTCTGTGACCCTAATAAAGGATTTTATTACAATAAGCATCATATCATGTTATAGTTATTAATCTGTCTTTCCCCATAAATCTGTCTTTCCCCTTATTGATGCCTATGAGCAACTTGAGACAAGACATTACATTGCAGGCTGCTGCATTCTACTGAGCTTCACTTTATTGCACTTTGCAAATACTGTGTTTTTCACAAATTGAAAGTTTGTGGCAACCCTGCATGGAGCAAGTCTATCAGCGCCATTTTACCAACAGCATTTGCTCACTTCATGTCTCTGTTTCACATTTTAGTAATTCTCACAATATTTCAAAAGTTTTATTATTATTATAGTTGTTATGGTGACCTGTGAACAGTGATGTGTGATGTTACTACTGTAATTGTTTTGGGGCACCACAAACCACACCCATATAAGATGGGAAACAACTAAATACTGTGTGTGTTCTGACTGCTACATCAAGAAGCCATTCCCTCAATCTCTCTCCCTCTCCTCGGGCCTCCCTATTCCCTGAGAAACAAAAACATTGAAATTGGGCTGATTAATAATCCGACAATGACCTGTAAGTGTTCAAGTAAAAGGAAGAACTGCACATCTCTCACTATTAAAAACAACTGGGCTTGGTGAGGAAGGCATGTCGAAAGAGGAGACAGGTTGAAAGGTAGGCCTCTTGTACCAAACAGCCAAATTGTGAATGAAATGCAAAGACAAAGTTCTTAAAGGGAGTTAAAAGTGCTACTCCAGTAAATGCACGAATGATAAGAAAGCAAAAGAGCCTCATTACTTAACACGGTGAACATTTCAGTGGTCTGGATAGGTCAAAGCAGCTACAATGTTCCCTGAGCCAAAATCTAATCCAAGCAAGGTCCTAACTCGCTTCCGTTCTATGACGGCTAAGGAAGCCACAGAAGAAAAGTCTGAAGCTACCAGAGGTCGGTCTGTGAGGTACGGAAAGCAGCCATCTCCACAACATAAAGTGCAAGGTGGAGCGGCAAGTGCTGCTCAGGGGCAAAAATGATTTCTTTCAAAATACTGCTAATGGACAATGCACCTACTCACCCAAGAGTTCTGATGAAGATGTACAAGATCACGTTGGTTTGATTCCTGCTCATGCAACATCCATTCCGCAGCCCATGGATCCAGTAATTATTTTGACTTAAGTCTTATAATTTAAGAAATGTATTTTGTAAGGCTATCTGGGCAAAGTAAATTGAAAATCTTCTTGAAAAAGTGTACCATTCTAGATATCATTATGAAAATTCATGACGCTTGGGAAGAGGTCAAAATATCAGCATTAACAGGAAAAAGGTGATCCCAAGCCCCACAGATAACAACTGTTCAATGGAGGAAGTAACTGCAGATATGGTGGAAATAGCAACAGAAATAAAATCCTGTAAAGTATTTTTAAATTAAAGTATATACAGACATAATGCTATGGCACACTTAACAATTTACCGTATAATGCAAATATAACTTTTATATGCACTGCAAACGAAAACATTTGTGTGACTCACTATTGCAATATTCGATTTATTGAGGTGTTCTGGAACGAAACCAGAACTATCTCCCAGGTATTCCTGTATTCATTAACCTTTTTTACCCAGCACCTAGCACAGTATATATTAGTCACTATAAATACATTTTCATTCATAAAATTAATGAGAGGACAAAATCCTCTATAATATATAAAATTCCAATATATTCAACCTAGAAACAAAATCTATGTACTTGATTAAATAAATAATTTCTGGAGAAATGTGCATTAATGTAGATCTAGCTGCAAAATCCTAGTTGTATATCCTAGACATATTATACTGAAGTATAAAAATAATAGTTGTCTTTTTCACTATTTGAGGGTTTAAAATTTCTGGAGTAGAGAAAGTATCAAAGCTTGCTAATATTTTAGCATTCTACTCTGAATCAACAACTATTGTTTATTTTTCCTTACATAGAGAAATTAAAAATGTGTTATAAAACCACTTAATATCAACAAGTTTTCATAAAAACAAGTTTTAGGCATCATTTTATGGTTCTATTCTAAAACAGAGTTTACAAAAATAACTTCTACTTTTACATTCAAATAAAAAAACAAAAACAAAAAATAATAACAGCAATTATACTCCTGTACTAAGAATAATAATTTGATTCTAACGTAGATAGTTCTTTTGCATGCAGACACTAAAAAATATATTAAAATAGTGGGGACCAGTATAATTAGTAATACAAAGGACTAAGCAACAATATTTTAAAATTAAATTATGTAATTTTATCTTTAACCATTCTTGAAATGACCTTTATTATTCAAATTAAAAAACAAAAGTTTCAATAAATCTATTTTATATAACAAATCAAAACAAAATTATATCTAGCTGTTAGATATGCAAATTTCCACCACTTTGATAATGTGACTCATGTATTATTCGAATTTTCATCTCATGCACTCCTATGAATGGCACTGAACAAACGGGGGGTGGAGGGGGGGGAATAAGCTAGACCAACATATAAATGTGATATGATTAGGAAAAATTCTTTTAAATAAATAAATGAAGGGGGAAGAGTTTTTTATTCCCAAAAGATTTTTCCATTCCAAATAATTCATTTTGTTATACAACACAGACTAAAATATATCCTTTCAACAAACATTTTACAATTCTAAATCACTACTAAAGTATGTTTTATATAGAAAGTCGTGGAAACATGCCAAGGTATCTCTTACGGGAAGGTTTTGTTTTTTTTTTATTTGTGGTACATGCCCCTAGCAGAAACCGAACCTGGTACTCGCCTGGTCCACAGGCCGACGCTCAACCACTGAGCCAAACTGGCCAGGGCAGGAAGGTTTTGTTTTTAAAAGAGAAAATGCAAAAAAAATCCAATCAGCCCCTTTATATTTGAAAAGATCATTTTTGCTGTGTTCTATGAAGACTCAATAACAAATGAATTCAACTTTGATTATTCTTTTAAAAAAAACACACAACTAAAAGCTGTAGGTGAATTACTAGTTTCAGTACACTATATACAGAATAAATTATATAACACTATTTGAGAAGAGCCATATTTTAATAGACTACTTACAAAAAAGAAAAGATAAGAAAATCCTGAAAACCAATACTGTATGCTTGATAGGAATTAAAAACGAAAGTGTACCTCAGTTTAGCTTCTCCACTGTTAAGTAAAATGAATACACCAATTACTTCTGTAAACCACCCTCCAACCTAAGTGCTGAGGCAAAGATAACTTTCTATTAATACTTGCTGCCATTTTTTTTTCCATTTAATGTATCTGCTTAAAAAAAAGAAAAGGGAAGAAAGTTTAGGAAAAGCAATAGTAGGTTTTTAAAATTAAGCTTTTTTTCCCCCAATTTTTATTAATTTATTTTTGTTACAGATGTTTCTCCTTTTTCCCATCCAGACACCGTCCTCTTAAAATTAAGCTTTATGTACTGTAACTTCCTTGATGTTCTAGAAAATGCAATCAAATACATGAAGGAAATACAAGACAAAATCTTGGGGGAAAATAATGGCAAATTATTATTATTTTCAGATGATATGACTGTCTACCTTTATTATCCAAGAGAATCAACTATAAGAGTATTAGAAACAATATAAAATCAGAAAGATGGACAATTACCAATTCATATAAAAAAAACATGTAAAATGTCAAAAAGTGTACTCTAATTTACCAATAATAACCAGTTATAAAACATTGAAATAACATTCACAATAGCAATAACAATACTGAATACATAAAAACATAAATTTAATACGAAATATATAGAACCTATAAAAAAATTATAAACCTCAAAAAGAAGGGCTTAACCAAATAGGAAGTGCTATAGCTTATAATATTTAAAGATCTCATCAAATTTCCACAAATAAAACTATAACTATAAAGCAATCATAACCAATTTCTAATAGAGTATGTATGTGTGTGTGCACGCGCGCGCATCAGTCATTGGGGTAGTTGACATTTTCTTTCAAACATTCGTAAGTAGACAGACTAAAGGAAAAAGAGCAGAGCCAGGGACTATTCTAAGGTGACATACAGACCAAGGATTAAAGATCCTAAAATCAATTCAATCCAAAATTTGATTTCTACATGTGTCAAGAAAAAGTCTTTGTCCCTGGCTGTGTAGTAAAGTGGAATGTCTCGGCTGCAGTTTGACACAGCAAATAAGGTTCAGCAGGGAGGTTAACATGATCGACCATAACATAGTCAGTTTAGGGAGTTCAAGATGATAGCATCTAAGACCTAAAGTAAAAGAAAGGCTTGATTAATTAATCTGCTCAGTTTTACATTTTCTCATGAGTATAGAAGATACTGGAAGAGGCAAATATAGCCATGGGTAGCTTCAACGGCTCAGAGTTATAACTTGAACCTCACAGCTATAAGGAAAAGGGAACCAAGGTACTGAGGAGGCCCCTAGCAAGTAAATAGTCATATTTCAATTAGTAACCCCATCTTTTAGATTTATAAAGGACTCAGAGACTAAAGTTCAGAATGTCCTTGGCCTAATATCACACACAATTACTCTGAACAGAGAAATCTACTCTAGGCTATCAGGTTGTAGGTATGTCCCTCACAAGTCTAAGTCAGGCAAACAACATTCCCACCCCCTTTCCCTTCATTCAAAACAAAGGAACTACCGAGACAAAGGGATACACAGGAAGACAACCTTTCAGATTTCTAAAACTCTGGTGGTGTGTACATCCTGCACTGCATACAAAGACATATTGAGAAGTGTTCAGACTTTTCATAAGGAGTGAAATTAACACACATATTTCATTTTCTATCATATTTTCTCAACTTGTACTAAACCCATGGTGGGTTTTTCTTTTTTATGTTAGAAATCCTTAAATACTACATTAAGATATAAAAGTTAAAATGTCAATGTTAAATCAACTAAAATCCCAGGATTATTTTTTCATTAGGATAGTAAAAGGTTTATATATTTTTCCTATATATAAAATGAAACATGACTGCAATAAGAATGTTAGTTAAATAGTATATCCCTGTTAAGTCACTGAGAAAAAAAGTTAGACAATCTAAATCTCAACAGGTTATTTTACTTTGTCAAACACCTAAGAAGAAAAGGGTCAACCAGAGACTTGGAGTGCCTATTTCTACTCATTACAGTAATCAGGTTTTACAAAATCCAGATCCTAAAATCTATGGTGAGACACAGTGAAAGGATATATAATTAATATAAATTGCTTGCTATAATCTCTTCTCCATAGCACCAAAGGCCTTTAGCAGGGTGAGTGTACTGTAATCCAAGATTAGATTTATATATCCTAGAAAGCGGGCGACACGCTGATGAACAGCACTACATTGACATAATGGCTCTTAGTGGTTATAAATGTAGCTTTTCCGTGCATTAATTGACCATGACTAGACTGACCTTTTCTCTATAATTGTAACTACAGTACAGTAATTAGACAAACCACTTCTTGCTTCTGATAAAAAGAGCAGAGGAAGAAAGCTCTCAGTCACGAGCTCTCAGAATGCAGTGAAATTGGGTTGGCCTTCTATTGGGAAAAAATGATCCACCAATAAGAAAAATAGTTTTTCATAAATCATGTTCTGTGTTTAGTTTAATGGACTAACTAAAGACAAAAATCCCGAGGAAAGCCCTTTCTCATATACTTAGCGGCAGATCCTCTACTGGAGGAAAAGAACTAGTCCTAAAATCAAGTTTGAAAGTGAAAAAAAAAAAAATTTTTTTTTCAATTATTTGGGACAGTGGGACGAATAGCAGGAGCAAAGAGCAGGTTTACTCCCAAAGATCTAAAAAATAATGATAAAATCCCTAATGGTGGCCCATGCAGGCATGTCTTCCTTGGGCCGGCATAATTCCACAGGTTGGCATAATTCCACAGGGCAGGGTGGCATAATTCTGCAGGGCAGTAAGAATCTTGACACGGGCTCTGGGGAAAAGCCAGCTGTCAATCATCCCAGAAAACTCATGGCTGGGGCTATGAGGGGAGCTGATCCCTTACCTGAGAGCAACCACCTTTTTTTCCACCTGTTTCTAGGCCTCAGAGGAAGGTCAGACAGCCCAAGACTTTCAGCTTCCACAGTGGGAAGTAGTAGGTCCCTGGAGGACAGGCGGGAGAAGGAGATTTCTTTTTTAGCAGCAAAGACTATGCAGAAGTGATTGGTGTCTAAGAGAACTGGGGAGG